CAGCAACTATTGCTCATCTCTAAATGTCCTTGAGAAGGTAGCAGTAAGTTACTTTCTTGAAGACCATATAGTGTCAATGAACCCATGATGCTGTTAGGGAGAAGGTTCCAGGATTTATTTTTTTTAACCCTACAGCAGTGAAGGAACAGTAATATGTTTCCAAGTAGGAATGCTGAGTGGCTTGGAGAGAGACTTGCAAATGGCGGTGTTTCTGTGTATCTGGTCAATAGGATAGTGTGGGTGTTCAGCAATGTTAATGTCACTAAATGTCAAGGCAAAATAGTCAGATGCTGTCATGTTGGAGATGATCATTGCCTGGAACTTGTGTGGCACAAATGTTACTTGCTACTTACCAGCCCAAATTATCCAGGTCTTGCTGCATATTGACGTAGGCTGCTTCAGTAACTGTGGCGAGATGTGTAATCATCCATTTCTGATCTGATGATGGAGCGAATATCATTGATGAAGCAGCTAAAGGCGGTTGGCCTAGGACACTACCCTGAAGAATGTAGGACTTAGATGATTGACCTCTAACAACCACAAACATCTTTCTTTTATGCTAGGTATGACCTTAACTAGTGGAGAATTTCCCCCCACAATTTCCATTGACTGCAATTTTGTCAGGACTCTTTGAAATATGAAGCAGTAGCACAAAAACATTGCAGAAATAAGAGGATGAGACAAAAAGAGAAGAAAGAGCAGCCAAGATTTTTAAAAAAGGAGTAAAGTAGGAAGAGAAAACCAACAAAAAGTACAGATAAAGTGAGAGCATCAGAAAGATTAGACAAGAAATGAAATGATATAACCATTGAATGAAAGAAGTAGTAACTCCAGTAAATTAAGTATACAAAATACACACAGCAAGTGATAGTAGGCTGAAAAATACAAAAGAAAACATCACAAATAAACTAACTGCAAGCAATACATATAAACAAAGAGAGTAGAAAAGTCATATATAAAATGGTGATGGCAAAGAATTTGAAACAAAATATGGCACAACAGAAGCATATTACACATATGAAAGCACTTTCAAAATAAATATACGGGGAAGCATTCATAAAATGAAATACTTATGGCAACTTTTATCAGGTAATTAAAACCAAAGTCACCACAAAGTTGCCATTGCTTTAGAATAAAGTAATAGTGTTTGCAAAAGCTAGGGCTAATCAAGCTCTCATATGTACTTGAGTGTGTAAACACAATAAAAATATAATTTCCCCTATAGAAATAAACTGCTTAGGAACAGGAGATCATTCTTGCTCATTGAGAAATGAATAGAAATTATCAATTCACTGGTAGGTGTCATATGGTTACTTGTGGCAAATTGATCATTTTTTTTTCAATTGCATTTTTATTTAAGGACAAGCAAATTATGGCATATGACCCATAGTGTTATTCTGCTGCCAAGACAGATTGACTTTTTTTAAAATCATTTTTGGGATGTGAGCATAACTGGCTGGCCAGCATTTATTGCCTGTCCCTAGTTGCCCTTGAGAAGGTGGTGGTGAGCTGCCTACTTGAATTGTTACAGCCCACCTGCTATGGGCTGACCCACAATGCCATTAGAGAAGGAATTCCAGAGTTTTGACCCAGCAACAGTGAAGGAACGGTGATATATTTCCAAGTCAGGATGCTTAGTGGCTTGGAGGAGATCTTGGAGGTGGTAGTGTTCCCATATAGACAAGATGTCCTGTTTTAATGCCCAAGGTCTAATTATTGTAACTGAACACAACCTGAGGTCAATTTTACACTAATTGCTCTTGGGTATAACTTGAGTTTAAAAAAAACATGGGCCAAATAACCTCCTTTATGTTGTGACATTCGAGGATTCTAGAGGATAGTTCTTATTGCTGAAGAAGTTTCTTTATAAATTTGCAGCTATTATGAACTCCCACATGCCAGAAGGAACCAACAATAAATAATTGGAAACCAAAGAAGAAATTGCTGGAGAAACACAGCCGTTCTGGCAGTATCTGTGGAGAGAAAGCAGTGTTAGTGTTTTGAGTCGAGTGACTCTTATTCAGAATAAATAATTGGCATTCTTTGTATTTTCATTCTATTTGTGATTAAATATTAGGCAGAAATTATTGTGCTTGAATTGTAACAGATGCACATCAAGTTTTATTTTATTGATGCAGGTATAATTACTAGTGAAGCATGTGTTGGTTAGTTCAGTTGGCTGGATGGATGGGTTGTGATACAGAGTGACACCAACACCGTGGGTTCAATTCCTGTGCCAGCTGACGTCACCGTGAAGGTCCTACCTTCTACAACATTGACCCTAACCTGTGGCATAGTGATCCTCCGGTTAAACTCACCACCAGTCATTTCTCTCTCTGATGAGAGAGCAGCCCTATGGTCCTCTGGGACAAGGTGACTTGACTAGTGAGGCAGTGGTATTAGTATAGGAAACAAAGCGGATTTAGTCTCCAGGTGAAGTGAGGGTTGAGTACCACATCAAATGCATATGTAATTCTGTCCTCATCTTATTATTGTGCCTTATTGTTATTCAAATAATTAAATAGCATATTGTAAGATGCTGGGAAGTAAAGTTGCTTCGAGCACAGGAGTATTTAACAGTACAGGGTAAGGAGCTGGGTGATGCCAAAATTTAAGTCAACACTGGTGGAAGGGTAGAAAAACATTGTGACATATTTACATAGGCTGTCTCTATTTCAATTTATAATGGACAGGTACCATTTGAAAAAGGTGACGAAAGGAAGTTAACTTTTTTGTAGACTGGATTAGTGGAAACAATTTGTGGGCCAAAACTTCCTGTCTCCTGACAATCTGAGATGGGCCAAAATTCTAACGAGACTTGCATAAGTCCTGTCGTTGGAAGTGGGAATTGCCTGAGAAATTTCCCAGGAACGTTTACATTTATAGACTCTGAGGTTTACAGCATGGAAACAGGCCCTTTGGCCCAACTTGTCCATGCCGTGCATTAAACTAATCCCATTTGCCTGTGTTTGGTCCATATCCCTCCATACCTATCCCATCCATGT